CTTAGCTCCGTCCAAAGCTTGGGGGTGAACCCTGAACATGTGGCTGAACATCATTCCCAGTAGCTGAGGAATAGCGTAAAGGCTTGATCTGTGCTCTGACCATGACACGAGAGTGCGCCGAGTGAATGGATTCATAAATAAATGTAATAATTTTAATATAAGCAAAAACTGTAACAGTAAACCAGCAGAAAGGCCAAGGTGCTAAAGATAAATTCTGCAGCACAAGCACAAACTCACCCAGTGTAGACTGTCTGCACCCGGAGAGCCTGCCAAGCAAGCTCAGGGGAGCAAGCCCAGGAAGGACAGGCACAGCTGGGGACTGAGGCCAGACCCCCGTCTGGAAACAGCATAGGGTCATGATTGCCCGTTCCTCAGCAGAGCTGGCCAGGAGGGGACGGGAGCCTCGGGACAGATTCTCTGGGGGAAGGGCAGCACAGTGGCTTGTAAAATCTGCCAGCAGGATGCTTCCTCAGGGCACCGCTTCCAGAGAGAGACAGGCTCTGCCCCTGGTGGGCTCCGCTAAACACACAGTGGTGTGAATGACCAACCATGTGGGCATGGCCACCGTGGTCAGCAGCCCTCTCACCGAAGCTTATCCCACGCAAGGCTCAGAGGGGGTGCCATCACCCCATCAAGACTTAACTGTTCCTTACGCCCTGGAGGACAAGAAGGTTCAGTGGAAGGCAGACACGGGGAGACTGCTGAACAAGGAACAGCAAGAAGAGGAAGGCAGGCCCCTCGCCTGCTGCCCTGGCCTTTTGTTGACCTGGTTGGCTTTTTATGTGGAAATGAAAAAGGCTTCCCCTTGGGGAGGCAGCCATCCTGGTGCATTCTGGGTAAAGAGCCTAGGATGCCTTCTGAGTGACTTGAGCAGATGCGGGCGTCCTTCTTCTCTAGCTGCACACATACCCCCTCACGGAAACACACATGCCCTCTCACGGAAGGAAAGTTATCAGCCACTGTGACTATCATGTCCCTACAGAATCTCCACAGCCATTCAGCGCTGAGGAGACCAAGGCATTACAGGCTGAGCAACATGTGAGGGGCTGGGTGAGCAGCTCAGGGCCCCTGATTCAAACATGAGGCATGAGGAACCCGGGCCCTCACTTGTACAAAAAGCCCTGAAGACTGGGAATGGAAAAAAAGGCGGTTTTGTTTACGGCTCTGTGGAGCCAGACATGAGCCTGCAGGGGCGGGCTCTGTGAGTGAGCAGAGCCGAATACAGGTCCCTTCTTCCCTTTCCTCCTCATCTGGGTGATCAGGAAGGCTCGGCCTTACACGCCGCTTGAGGCTTTTCTTCCCCTCTGATGCTTAACCCGCCTCCATTTTAGCAAAGACCACACATGGTTCATCTCTAGGCCACGTTTTGATGATGTTAACGCTCACCGGGAATATAATTGTGTCCTCGCTGCGGGGCTCTCGGTGAACTCGCCGGTCAGTAGCTTTCTGCTCTAAACTTTTGCTTAGGGTGTATAGGTAGACCAGAGGCGGTGAGCGGGGTCCAGTGTTTTCTGTTCACCTGTAGCTGGCCCTAAGCTGGCTCAGGATACATTTGAATGGAGCATTTTAAAAACTTTCTTAAAGATTCCAAGATGGGAGATCCTCCCTGCACGGAGCTCAGCCATGGTGGATGAGACTGAATAGGGCTCCTTCCTAAGCATGGGTGTGACTCTCTCCATGGCTGAGTGTCCCGGGAACAGCCTTCCCTGGGGCACGGTAAGATGCTGGTAGAAGGATGGGGAGGCTCTGCCAGAGATGCCAAGTCCTAGAAAGAATCCTAGGCAAACCTGTGTCCTGAGGATGAAGACGGAGGCAGGTCAGCTCAGCGCTGTGATCTGTGAGCCCTAGAGGCCCTGACTGCTGACCAGGCAGACGGTAGCTGCTCCGGGACAGCCAGGTAAAAGGAGTTCAGATGTGACAGTCGAGATAGCCCTAGGCATGCGATTCTGTAGAGTGCTCAGCCGGCGGTGGGACAGAGGGCTGTGCCGTAATCCCAAGATAGCCCATCTCTCCAGGCCAAGCGCCATGAACTACCTCTCTGCTGAAAAGGTCAAACCTTATTCTCAGGTGATCTCAGGGCACCTGTGAGAAACAAAGGACTGCTTGGTCCTGAGAGGCTCCTCAGACCCTTGTCCTGGAGCCCCACCCCTCCGCCTGGAAGCTCCACCCCTCCGCTTGAAGCCCCACCCCTTCTACCTGGGTCTCCAGCCCTCCACCTGATGGCCCCGCCCCTTGCACTCCAGCACCCTGCCTTCTACCCAGAGCCCTGTCTGGTACCCTGCCCTCTACCTGACATCTACTCCCTCCACAAAGCGCCGCAGCTCGTCCAGCCTTTAACAGCAGACTCTCCACTTCCCCATTTTTGATGAGTGACCCCTAGCCCTTCTTGCAGGTGTCCATGGCAGGCCTTTAGGGTGGATTACGCCCTTCCCACACTGTCAGGGCAGGTCTCAAATCCCCGTGTTTCCAGAGCGGCCATGCGCAGAAAGTCACTGGCTTAGGCAGGCCAGCGAGGGGACTGCTTCTTACGGATTGTCACAGACCTAAGGGCAGAGGCCATGGATGACAGTGGCTCAGGTGCCAGAGCTCAGAGACACTGCCTCGCTTGTCAGTAACACATTTGCTGGGACTCCTCCGTCCTGTCTGGGCGCAGGTGGGAGCCCAAAGTCTGGGTGGCCGCTGGGTAAATTAGGAACAGAGCCTGCCTTGAAGCACAGCCTAAGCCGATCTCTTGCCTCCACCAGGAGCTCGCTCTCCGATAGGCAAGCACTCAGCCAACTACATCCCAGCCTGGCCGTGAACTTTTAAAAGCTCACCTGTGCTTTCATGAGCTTGCGAAGTCAAGCTGTGTCTCATTCCCCACCAATGGTCTTGAACTGGCCAGCCTGTGCTCATAAAGGCCAGAGGGATGGGAGCATGCCCAGAGCTCAACAGTGTGCTGGGCAGGAGGCGGCTAGAAGGGCAGCAAGATCGGCGTGGCAAAGCGGGGTCTCTGCCCTGAAGAGCCCCGCCCTGTGGAGTCTAAGCACTGAAAAGGTGTTGGGGAACAGCGGTGGGTGAGCAGCTGGGAGTCCACGCTGCCAGTCAAGCCATAACAAAGCTTTGTGATTGCGGGCGGTTGTGTTGTTGACTGATCTGGTTCAGGCTTGTTTATCCAAAGCCACTCCAAACGGAAATCTCCAGCTTGGTCAGGTTGGAGAATTCCCCAGGTGCCCTCACACTTAGAGCCCTCCCCTATGAGCATTTGTCTGTGGTTTCCCAGGACAACGTCTCCAGGCTTCAGGGGTGATGGTGGCTTGCTTCCTACAGCCTTACAGGGCATCCAGAGCCTGCAAGGTCAGCCGACAGAGAACAGGTGCCTTTCAGCTAGCACCCTCCAGAAGTCTGGAGGAGGTGCCTTCTTGGCCCGGACTATTTCTGTAACTAAACTTCACCCGAGCAGCCACTCAGGTGTCTCTGTGCCGTTCCATGCCATAGTGACACCAAGTAGCCACAGGGACACCAACCACCAGGCCTGATATCCTCCCCTGCCTTTCTTAGAAAGAACGTGCCAAGGCTGGATTACATTATTCAGCTTAAGTATGTATTAGCTGGCCCCTTTCTATAAAAATCTCTAAATCTGAGATCTCTGCTCCCTCGAGAGAACCCATCTTTAGGCCCTTGGTCAGCCTATTTAGAGAGTTACTGTCAGCCCTCTCCAAATAGCTGTCAGGCAGTACAAGAGACTATGAAAACCAGTCACTTTAGACCTCAAGAAACAGTCTCTTGCCGTCCAAGTTCTGCCTGTGCAGTCATTGGCTCCACCCTGTGCCCCTCCCACCCAGAGGAGTCCTAAGATCCTCCAGCCCTTTAAGGTGGCTTTGTGTCCACCTTACTTTCAGAATAGTGCTAATTTTTACACTAATGGGCACTAGTGTAAAGACTAATGCCCATTTCTTCAAGGGGAAATTTTTTCCTTAAGACAACGAAAGTCATAGCGAATAAAGTAAAAATGATAAATTTAAATTAAAAAAACAGAAAGACAAGGAAAGTCTCAGGAGGTAGAGAAGCCGGGCAGGCTGTAATGGGAGAGCATTTGTATCCCTCTAAACGATGTAATTCATTACCCGAGATGCGTGCAGGTGTTCCACAGGAGGAGAGGAGCACACTGCTCTTTTCTTGCTCTATCGTTTTGCATTAATCACAATTGCAGCACCTTCCTCTTCCATGGGGTTTTCAGTAAGAATCTCGGCTTTCTTTTTTCCTAGTTTTTTTTTTTTTTTTTCCAAAATGACAGGAGATTTATCCAAAAGAATATTTCTGCTGAATTATAAGCCAAGGTCAATTGCCTTGTGACACACTTCCTTTCTGGGAAGTGGGGGCCTCTGGGTCTGCTGCCCCGGCCTTACAATGGCTAAGACTTCATTTGCATCTGCTAATTGTTTCCCAAGCTCATTTCTTCTGGCATGATATCAAATGGAATTTGTTCTCTGAAAGTCTTCCTCACATGAAGTCCGGAGCAGATAGGGTGGACCTTCATTGAAACAGAATTGTCACGGGATGCTTTTGGAAGGGCATGGATTAAAAGGGCATAAAATAACTCATGGCTCCTGTCTTGCAAGCACACAGACAGCTTTTTCCAAGTGCATGCAATGCTAGCTAACAAAAAGTCACTTCTCAGTGGGCACACACATGTTTATAGATAGAACATTACACCATTCTAAAATGAGAACTTACAGCTTTCAAAGTGTGTTTACGTAAAATTTCCCATCAGATCCTCAATGACTGGAGATTGCCTGACATGGCATGACTTCAAAGATGACAGAAAGTGTATGAGGTGCTTGGCTGAGCCAGACCAGTGACTGAGTGGGACATAGGGTTCCGCATATCCAGTCCCACCTGGCCCTTGACAGAGCACCCCACAAAATCAGGTTGTTTTTCAGGGGAGTTTGCCCAGAGGGAACACTCTGAAACGCCCCACCCTTCCCTATACTGACTGTCTTCTGATTTTCCCTTCACAGTTGACAATAAAGACCAGCTGGAGAAGACATCTGGACTGACGATCCTCCAAAGTGGAATCAGGCCGGTGAGTAGTGTGCGTCTCCAAAAAGGATGATGGCCTCTGGTGCTGGCCTCTGGTGGTGCTGGCCTCTGGTGCTGGCCTCTGGTGGTGCTGGCCTCTGGTGGTGCTGGCCTCTGGTGGTGCTGGCCTCTGGTGGTGCTGGCCTCTGGTGCTGGCCTCTGGTGATGCTGGCCTCTGGTACTGGCCTCTGGTGGTGCTGGCCTCTGGTGGTGCTGGCCTCTGGTGGTGCTGGCCTCTGGTGAGGATGGCCTCTGGTGCTGGCCTCTGGTGGTGCTGGCCTCTGGTGGTGCTGGCCTCTGGTGGTGCTGGCCTCTGGTGAGGCTGGCCTCTGGTGGTGCTGGCCTCTGGTGAGGCTGGCCTCTGGTGGTGCTGGCCTCTGGTGAGGCTGGCCTCTGGTGAGGATGACCTCTGGTGAGGCTGGCCAGCTGGTGGAACCCAGGAGCATAGGTTTGGTTCATCGTGTGGTTAATCCGAGTAACGGTTTGTTGGCTCAGCTGGTGGGAAATCGGTCTTCCCGGTGTTGATGCTCACTAATGGTGGGGGCAAATGTGACTGTGTATATTGCTTTTGAAATCATATGTTGGTACCTCCCAAAGAAAAACCTGTCACAATTAAGCAAAACGGGAGACTCCAGAAAAGATGAAGACTTAAAACACCCAAATTATGGGAAACAATCAAGTTCCAGGAGATTATTCTTTGCTTGGGATCCAGTGTCTTTGTTATTTAAACATGTGTGTTTAAACGAAGCCGCAGGCTACACATGTGTCAGCGAAGGGATGCCATCACACTCTTCAGTGTCCGGCCGTCGCCTCCCTGCTATCAGACACGACGTCCTCTCGGTGCTTGCTGGAGGCCACTCTCTTGGCCGAGTGACAGTGTAATGAAGTGTGCGTGTAACGGCGGCTGAGGTTCCTCCTGGGAGCCGCATGGAGCCACTCGTAAGCCAGCATGGACCAAAGCCAATCTGTGCTCTCATGTCTGAAATTTCAGATTTCACAGCACTTGCCATTAAAGGTAATTAAGTAGGAAGGAGTGCTTGTTTGTAAGTGTTCCCTGCTGTAGAGTGCCTCCTCCCGGCCCAGCCGCTCCGAGACTCACAGCTTCGTTGGGGGAGCTCTCATTCTGCACCAGGTCTTTGGCTCCTAGAGCCAGGAGATGCTTAATTGGTGACTGTTCTCCGAGGCCTGGGCTGCCAGGGAGCTCTTAAGGGGGCTTGAGTGCCTGGGGCATCTTAGTTATTGGCAGCAGCGTGTGGGAGAGAGTCTATAACTGATAGAAACTTCTCCAAGGACATTCTAAGAGCCTGACAAATGTCACTCACTCTTCTGTGTGTGTTCTTGAGGCCAGGGTGGCCCATGCTGAATTAGCAGACCAGGTGACAGCTGAGGGCCCTCTGCTTGTTTGCTCTTTCTTTAGCAGCCAGTGGAGTGGAAGAAAGAAGCCAAATGTCGTGGGGCTTCCAGAGCAACCTACATCTAAGTGGGGCCGTGTCAGGGAGAAACAGTGCAGTGTGCAGCCTGGACAGTGGGCACTTGCGTGTTACTGCCTGTCTCCAGGTAGGGGCAGCTCGTGTGCTGGCCTATGTTTCCAGTTTAGTCTCTTCCTATGGGAGCAATGGTTGCACCCAGCCATTGAGAGCAACCCAGAGTCAGGCTGCAGTCATTGCAATGACCTAGTTTCAGAAAGCCTAGAGGCTGTGGATTGAGTGTGTAAGCCACTCAGGAAGCTGGCAACAGGTGGGTGACAAGTCCGTGATTCACACAGGGGACAACAGTGTGACTCATGCACTTGGATACTGAATACCCTCTCCCTTATTGAGGTGTGGCCTCCAGAAGTCCCAGGACAACCAGGATGAGGAGGTGGACCAGCCCTACTCAGCAAGCTGGGCCTGGCTCCCAAGCACCTCCCAAGCAGTGCTTGGCTTTCCTCCTGAGACCCATACTTTCATACCCCACTCCGAGCATGACGACAGGCTCCACAGAGGCCTGCTCAGAACGCAACTGCTCCTCTAGGAGTACAGAGCTTGCAAAGCTGTGTCTTAACCATCCTACTGGCCCCCCTCAGCCTATAGCCTCCAGCTCTGCCCTTGTAGCAAGGGATGCAGGCTTTCTCCCCTTAGGACCTGTGTGTTGCTCATCCTAAGTATCTTCTTCCAGCCTGCAGTGGCTTCTGTGTGTTTTTTCTCTTAAATTGTGGTGCCATGTCTTCTGCAGTCACACAGGTGGTCAGTGTTGGCCCCAAGGCTCTGCATTCTGAACTGTAAATTAGTCAGTGTTGACCTCATGACTCCGTATCCTACTGTAGAATGGTCAGTGTCAATCTCATGGCTCTGTATCCTAATGTAGAATAGTCAGCGTTGACCTCATGACTCCATATCCTGAGCTATAGCACAGGTCAGTCAGTGTCCACCTCAGAAGACCCTTACTATGTCTTCTGAGGTGGCAGATATAAAATGCCTGGACACAGTTAGCATTGTCTAAATACGGCTCACGTGCATGTGTCCTTCCGGTCCATCCTTCGCTGCCCGAAGTGTGACTTGACTTGGTCTCCCAGCACTGCACTGTGAGACCTCTCCTCATGTGACCTGCAGGTCCCCTTTCCTTTGTCTCTAACATGCTGTGAGGCCCAGCTAGTGGCTATGGTTACACTTTCCTTCCCATTTTTAGTGTGAAAAACTGCTTAGTGTTATTTTCAAGTGGGTGTTTGCTGTCTCCCTGTGGTTGCCTGCATATTCCTTCTGTGACTTCTGCCTTTTTAGCTTGTTAATTATCTTAAGCCTGATAATTCTATAATTTTACCTGTATTCTTACACTCTTCAAATCTAAGGTTCTTGTGGCACTGCTTGTCACGCCCTCACTGCTTCCATGGTGGTTTGTTCTTCTTGTATGGTTGATGGTGACCACACACACACACACACACACACACACACACACACACACACACACACATATACATACATACATACATGCACATATGTGTGTGTATGTTTCATGTATGTTTGTTTAATTGTGACTTTATCTGAAGCAAGGAAATATTGATTTTTTGTATGAGTTTCTCTCTTAGTTTTGAGCTTTTCAGTTTATTTGTTTTGTTTTTAAGAGACGGTCTCACTATGTAGCTCAGGCTAGCCCATCTCAGCAGCCTTTCTGTCTCAGCCTCCCACACCAGAGGCTGGTGTCAGCCTCAGCGGACAGCAGAGGTGTAAGCTGCATGCCTGCCTTCTATATGAGATTTCTGTGCAAAGAGTTTTACTCTTCTGTCCATGCCCACGGAGCTCCCCACCTTGAACAAGGCTCTAGTCTTGGTTTCATCCTTCTCCCCACCCTCAGCTGGGGGTGGCTGGCACCCGCTCCCTCTTCCCCATTGAAGAGACTCCGAGGGTTACCAGCCTCAGCGTTTCTGCCTCTTCCTCCGCCATATTGCTGTCTCTGAGCATGGAAACCCTGAGTCCTGTGCCCTTAGGTATCTTTAGAGGGACCAGGTCTCTAACAGTAGCCTCAGCTCCTGGCCCTGACCTAGCTTTGAGCCCTCCTGATCCTGGGCATCTGGACAGCCCCCTTTCGTCCTTTGGTTCTAGTGTCGGCAGTGTGCAGATTTTAGGCAGTTCCTGTGGCCATGTGGTAAGAGAGCGCCCAACTTGCGCCAGCTCAGTATCCCACTCACACATCACTCAAAAGGCAGAGCTGAGTGTCTACTGTGTCCTCAGGAGGTCTGAGCACTGAAACACAGCCACAAGCGGGACAGATGAGCATGGGTGCCCTTCCTTCTCCCCTCCAGGGAGCTGGAGCTGGAGCTGGAGTTTCTGGAGGAAACTTCTTGTTCTCTCAAGACAAACACTAGCACCTGAGCCAGTTCTAGACTCCCAAGGGCCTTGGGGACTCTAGCCAGTCAGTCTCTCTCTCTCTCTCTCTCTCTCTCTCTCTCTCTCTCTCTCTCACACACACACACACACACACACACACACACATACACATGCACACAGACCTGTGGCTGCCTGGGCTTACCATCCCTCTAAACATGTGCTGTGGGCACTGCCCCTCAGCCTGCTGAGCCTGCCCTCCATAGCCTGTCCCTTTGGAATTTTGAGACCCATGTCCCCAGAGTCTATTTCTCACTGTTGTCTGGCCTCTGCCACCCCTGTTGACACCTAGTCAGCCTGCAGCAGCTTCCTGCTCTAAGCCAAGAGCCCCTTGACCCTCCAACCTGCGGCTGCAGCCCCAACCACAATGGCATGTTCTGTGAGGAACCCTGTTCCATGTGGCAGATGTGTCCCCCCAACCCCAGAGGCCTCCTCCTCATTGACTTCAGCCCCACCTTTCTGCCCCGAGAGTCACCTTTGCTCCCGAGATCCAAGCCAGCGGCCCCTGGAGGAGCCCAGCTTGCTGTCCCAGTGCTTCCTGAAGACAGCTCGTGTCCAGACAGTCATCTTAGGATCCTTTTGCCTCACCCAGCAGCCACTTCTGAAGCAGTTGATTTTGAACCTTTGGAGTTGCCTGGTGTCACTGCTGTGGCCTTGAGCCCAGCTCTGCACATGTGCAGCTGGTTCCTCCCTTCCCAGATCCAGACTGGAAGCTGCCCTGACCAGCCCAGAACATTTACAGCAGCAAAATGGGAGGAAAGGTTTCAAGCTGAGAAAATTTTTAGAAACCTAATCATATCTTTTTCCTAATCTTAATTCTTGCATTCAGTTAGCCTGATTTTGATGATTTTTATAAGTGTATTTCTAATTCTTCTAATTCCTGACTCTGGAATGTAAAGCAGAGTATGATTGTGGAAATCTAACGCCATTTACATATCTGCTCTAGGCAGTTGTAATTCACACGTGTGATGACAGACAGCAGAATTAAAACCTTTTAAGCCAAATAGAAATATCTCAAAACAAAATTTAAAAGAAATGAAGAGACTGTGGTGCACACACTCATTCAGAAGAGTTGGGTGGTATTTTGATGTATTTCAAAATCTAATTTCTGATACCTTGAAAACTTTTCATGTATTACTCGTGT